GGCTGATCCTAGATAAAGTGGGGCTGGATAGCGTTCGACTAAATATTATCAAAGAAATCTGCGACACCTGTCAGGAATGTAGAGCATGGGAGCGCCCAGGTAACTCTACGCTACCTTCCGCAAGCCTTCCTGGACATTGGCTTGACGAAGGCGAAGTAGATCTCATGCTTTACAAGAAACGGACCATATTCCACATTATGGACCGATGTATTCGCCTGGCAGCGGGCCAAGAAATTCCCGATAGAGAACGTGACACTATACTCGACGCCTACCACTACTGCTGGATCGCCTATCATGGACCCTTCAAAGTCTTGTATTCAGATGGAGAAGGCGCCCTCAAACATGAAACTGCCAAGGCCATGATGGCGAATAAGGGCACGGCACTTCGTATCCGAGCGCCTGGCCAGCACGCGACCTCGATCGAGTCACGCAATGGCATTCTTAGGGGCACTCTCCACATGATTGAGGAAGAGCTGAACATACACAACATGTTTATTTTATTTACTAGAGTACTGGCCGAAGGCATCTTCGTCACTAACGCTTTCACGTTCTACAACGGAGTATCGCCATACCAAAAGCGCACACTCGGCGACAGCCCTCTTTCCTTCCTGACCTCGACACCCTTGACTTCCCCAAGGGGCCCGAGACGTCATGCCACGAACGCGAACGCCGTGTGAGGGAAGCCAGCCTGGAAGCAGTAACTCAAGCCACGGCGGTTGCGAAGACGAGCCGTGCCCTCAGGGCTAAAACAGCCCCATATGGTGCTCGCCTGTACTCAGCTGGGGACTTGGTCGATTATCACCGACCTACGGCCGCTAAGGACGACCATGGAGGCTGGAATGGCCCGTTGCCTGTGATTCGTAACGTGCCTGAACGAGGACACGTAGTCGTCAAGGCAGGATCGCGTGAGGTAGTTGTAATGGATCTTGATGCTCGCCACACGCCATACATTGAATGCCTTCTCACCAGGGAACTTGGCATGGACAACGTGGCCATGCAAACCGTCCTCACATATGTGGCACACCTTGGTGCGGGGAAACCTGCCAAAGTCTTTGGCTATATTCCAGACTACAATGGAAACCTCAATCTTTCCGACGACAGCAAGTTCAACCCGCGCGTGCACCTTGCCTTACAGTATCTCGTGCGAAACTATTTCCGAGTGAGCGCGTAGTAGCCGTGAGATTGGCCAAGAGCGTGCTCAATATACCTGCAGTGAAGTACGCCACCGGGTCTACACTGATCCACTACGACAGCGATGTCAGTCCAGCCTTCCATTACTATGATTGTGTAGGCACCGGCCAAAACATCTTTCAAACCACTGGTATCACTCACTCCAGACTCATCCAGTGCCTGACGTCACAAGTTCCTTCCCCAGGATTTCACGACGACCTTGCCAAGTATCAACACTTGGACACACCGCCTGGAGGACCCGACCAGCCTGAAGACAGGCCTCCTCCAGACACCCCAGGTGAATCATCGCCAAGTGAAGGTCGCCTGTCTACAATCTACGAAGAAAGCGAGGCACACGACATCGAGGCTATGATGATGGAGGAGTGGTTCGCTGAGTTGCGTATGGGCCCTCATCCCACAACGGTTATCGACGACTATCTCTACTGCGTCCCAACAACCATGCTGCTCGACCAATTCGTCTTGGTCTCAGCATCTGCGGACGAGGGAGATACCGTTGTGTTGGAGATGCTCGGGGACGAGCCAGAACAACAAGAGCCCTGCCTTGTCTCTTTATGCTCGACTACACCTGACGAGGGCTATTCTCTTGACAGTGATGGACATGGTCCCTATGTCGAGCTATGCTTCACGCCAACAATGTCAAATATCGTGCTGGATTAGACCCAACTCGCACAGCTCGGACCAAACATGGTCGCAACGATGAGAGTTTGCGTACCATCGGCTGCTAATCGTGCTGTGGTAGTCAAGGAAGACGACCTACTCACCAAAGCCGACACAGCAGCACATCCTAAAGAGGTTAGTGAAGCATTGTACACCGAACTCAAGATCTGGCTTGGCAACCGATGCTTTGAGATGTATGACCTATCAAAAGCTTCCAACCTCATGACATCCAGATATGCATACAAGTGGAAGTTTGTGAAAGTAGGCACCGAGCATGTTAAAGCTTTCCGTCTTAGATTTGTCCTCCGCGGATTCATGGACACGGGGGCTTTCGATGTAGAAACCTTTTCGGGAACTGCCCGCCGACAGTCCCAGAGGCTCCCGGCAAGTGAGGCGGCGTGTCATCCAGAATGGATCTTAGCATCTATGGGTATCGACACAGCGTTCCTCAAAGGACTGACATATGAGGAACTTGCCCATGCCACCGGCGGGGAGACTCGCACGGTTTGCTTCACCCTTCCACCAGGAAGTGCCCAGATGATTCGCACCTTATCAGGCTTCTCTTCCTACGATGAAAGCCGACGCTGCCTCGGGTGCCTCAAGCCAGGAACGGTTGCAAAGGACGCCCCAAGAGCGTTCTCCGTCAAGCTTCGCGCGACTACTCGAGCTATAGGCCTTGCGCCGACCAGCTACGATCCTGAATTTGAATTCAGTCCAGATCTGTTAACAGCAATACATGTCGACGACATCAATATGACAGGCCTAAAGAAAAACGTAGATGACTATGTACAACGTGTCGAAAAGGTGTCTGGTAAATGTAAGCTCGACAAACGTTCCCACACCAACTGCGCCGTTCGCTACACGAAGAATGCACAAGGGGATGCGACCATGGACCAGGACGGGTATATTTAACAACTACGTCCTATCACACATCCTGAGCTTACGGGAGCAGCGGCAGACGCCAAGGCTACCAAGCTCATCACCGACATGTTCGTTAGCCTGCGAAGAGCTCTTGCCTATGCCCTTCTTACTCTCAAGTCTGGCCCCTGGTGCATGTGGTATCTCTCCAGAAGATCCAAGAGCCCACCTACTTACAAGTCAGGCGACTGAATGCTGTGACGCGAAAGCTGATATGCAGCCCGAAACGCATCGCCTTCCCTCGGATGAAACCGACGGATCAAGTGGACATACATAGTGATTCGGGGTATCGGAAACTCACCGGGGAGGAGGACGATGAAACCAAGGGCTACGGCATTCGTGGGGCTAACGTATTACGGCGAGGAGACTCGCCCCACGGCAAATCCGTCGTTCACCTTTGCGACGGACTATGCAAGTCACACCGGCTGCATGTGAGGTCCAGCTATGCCGCTGAGGCACTTGCAGCTGCACGTAATCTTGATGAATGCTACCCCACGCCCATCAGTCGCCACGAGCTCAAGGCCAGAGCACTTACCCCACGACAACTACGAGATATGCGTGAAGTTGGAGGCCTAGCTATCAAAGTATCCCTTACTATAGACGCTGTGTTTGTATACAAATCGTTATCCATCAAAGACCTTCAGATACCAACGGAACGTACTTTGCTGGGACATACCAGCTGGATACGTGAGCTCATGGATATAGGTATAGTGCATAACGTACAGTCGTGCGACGCTAGAGACATGACCGCAGACGGGCATACAAAGGGGAGTATCGATGGGAACTGTTTTTGGAAGTGATGTCAGGCACTCAGTCATTTAAGTATGACGTGAAGCAGTTTGTTCCCTTTCGGGGCCCCGAGGACAAATCCAAACCTAAGTCGAATCAATGTTAGTCTGTCCTTGTTGCCCCTGCGGTCCAGTTTGCCAGCGCGGGCGCCTAATACGGGGGCGCCCTCTCTTCCTGCTCGGAAGCGAGCCATGCTTTTCACGCTTGGCAACGAGCCTGTTCAGGTTGGTTCAGGCTCTTTGCCTTAATACCCTTTTGCCCGGAGGTGAATAGTCTGTTTGGCTTACCTCTAGCTGGGCCGATAGCCCTTGTATATCCGAAGGGGCTATCCTGCGCGTGCGTGGAAAAGTTTTGCGAGGAAGCTCGCCGGCGAATAATCTCGCCCTTCAGTCTGGTGGTTGGCCAGACTGCGCATGCTGTTTTCCTTGCAAACAGAGTTGCGCGCCTGTCGGGATCCTGGCGACCGCGCGGCATTACTCTCCGTCTCCTCCCCTCCCGACTTTAAGGGTCGCTTTTTTGGGAGATGTTATAGAGAATCGGGAGTATAGCCTGCGCGTCGCTGTCTTATGGTTCAAGGCACGCGCGCCCCATTTGCCCGGCGACCTGACTTGGTATTCGCTATGTGCTGGAAAGACCATTACATCGATCTTATCACATCTTACTCATCCACACCCCATATCGTATTCTTTCGACATGGAATTGGATGCAATATGACCTGCCAGAGTCATTTGAGACTGCGGTGTGTTGCTGTGGTGGTTCAGAGATGGGCGTGCGTGGTGCTGCGCTGCGGTTCCCCCCTCCCCCCCTTGTGAATGTGGTGTGGTGCTGTGGTGGTTCAGAGGTCGTCGTCGTCCTCGTCGTCCTCGTCGTGGTCGTCGTCGTCATCATCGTCGTCGTCGCCGTCGTCATCGTCGTCATCGTCGTCGTCGCCGCCGCCGCCGGCGTCGTCGCCGCCGCAGCCGTCGTCGTCGTAGTGGTCGTCGTCGTCGTCGTCGCCGTCGTCGTACTCGTCGCCGTCGTCGTCGTCGTCGTCGTCGTCGTTTCTGGGACCATACCATCTGGGGGGGGGGGGGGGCCCGAGGAATCCTGGGACCATACCATCTGGGGGGGAGGGGGAGGGGGGCCCGTGGGCCCAGAACCCAGGACCATATATGTGCAGCAACAGGCGCATCGAGCAAAACAAGAATGAAAGGAATGTGACATTCCTGACCTCCCCTAGGCCTTTGGGCCTCTTGTTTGGGGGCCTGCCGCCGTGGAGATTTAATGCCCGATCCTCCTCAGTGAACTCAGTCCTCTTCCTCATTCTCGATCCTCCGTCTGCTCCAGCGCCGTCGCCGCGATCGTCTGTCGTCTTCGATTGCGAGGACGCCTCCGACGACGCCGCTGCCGCCGTTCGTTTAGGGCCGCTCTTCCTCCTCGTCCGCTTCGGACGCCCACGACCGAAGGCGCTCGCCGCGGCTCACCGCGCCCGGAAGGAGCTCCACTGAGAGCGCTGGCCCCCGCGCGCCGGTGTGCGCGCTTCCGCGGCCCTGCCGCGGGGGGAGGCAAATCAGCCGCTGCCTTCTGGAGACGAGCAATCCGAGGCAACGTTAGGGCCAGCCCGATTCGTTTTCGCCCAGTGCCGATGCAGCCCGATCCGACGCACTTCTAGATTCGATTTGATGATCCGATTCGATGCCGACTGATCCGGCTTCCTCCCTGTGATTCCATCCCTTTGCTCAGGGGCAACTATGAGGGGGGGGGGGGGGGCTCAGGGCGATGAATCGCCCACCCCGCCCAGGAGCCCACCCCACCCAGGACCGTGCGGATTCGCTATCGAGGGCCCATCGCCGATCTATCGGCGATGTGTCGCAGATTGCATCTTGATGTTCCCACCCTTGTGACGGTCCTCCCCCCTAACGGTCCCAATCAGCAAGGTCGGAGGGGGGTCTAAGAGGTTTCAGCCTTTCTCATTATCATTTAGGTTATGACAAGTCTACTTGCATGGCATGTTTCCTCCCCCGCCTCGCCTCCTTGTCAGTCGGTGCTGGGCCAGAAACGCGTGCAAGTAATTTTCGGCTTGAGTGATCTCCAGTGTTCCCTCAATGCCGGCAAGCTTGCCATGATCCAAACACAAGTTCTTTCTCTCCATGTTTGGCCTCCGTGTGGCTGGTTCGGGCCCCCGCCTGGGCGAAAAGTTGCCAGGGATGGGCCCCATGAGTGAGTGGTCTGGGGACGACTATGAGGGGTTTTCGACGGGTCCGGGTGAGGGGGCAGGAGGAGGGACGAGGAGAAGGGGATTTCTGAAGCGTCGAGGATGTCTTCGGAGACTTTCTGACGGAGGGGAGGAGAAGACGAGGAAGAGGAGGAGGAGGCGGAGAAGGACGAGGCAGAGTTTCAGTAGGTGCAGCAGGAGGAGGCGGAGGAGGAGGAGGCGGAGGTTGGAGGCAGGGGGGGGGCACGAATGAACGAACGACCACCGTTGCGGACACCGTCCAGGCCTGACCCAGGCAGAGCAGGGGAGGAGGAGATGGAAGGGAGGAGGAGGAAGATGAGGAGGAGGAGAAGGAGGAGGAGGAAGAAGAGGAAGAGAAGGATAATGAGCGGGAGGAGGAGGGGCGCACTTTAAATTCATGTACACAGCGGAGGGAGGCGAGAAAGAGGGACGGAGGCAAGTGGACTCGCTATCTATCGATCTAGCTATCTAGCTCACTGTCTATCGATCGGTCTTACTACCTGTCGATTTGACGAGCGATTGTTGCCACTATCAACACACGCACACATACACACACGCACATCTCATGGCCTTCGGCCCATCCCGCCACCGTGCCTGGGTTGTGTGTCATAGGCCTCTTGGATGTTCGTTGGGATGTCGTGGGAGGCATCTCGGGGGCGCCGCCAATTCCCCAGAATCGGCCGGCATCGATTGGTCCGCATTATCGGAGAGCCCCGGGTCACCCGCGGGGGCGCGAACGCGAATGTAGGTGACCTAGAAAGTCACGATCGCTCCGAGGTTGAACGGTCCACGAGGTGTGGGAGACCCACGCCGAAGCTGTCCGGGCAGGAACCCACCGTGGTGGGCTTTGTCCGCGCCGTCATCGCGCGGCAGAGCAGGAGCAGGAGGCCGATCCCCCCAGGCGGCGGCCGTGGACAAAAAATCCCGCCTCGCAGGCGGAGAAGGAGGAGAGGGAGGAGAAGGAGGAGGAGGAGGAGAAAGCGGAGAGGGGGGAAGGAGGGGGGATGAGCGAGGAGGGATGAGGAGTAATCGGGGTGTCTTCGCGCTGCGCAGGAGGGGCATGGGCGAACGACAGAGGCGGCGGCAGGGGGAGCGGCGGCGGCGAATGTGGACGGAGCTGGCACGGGTCGCGCGCGCTGTGCGTGCGCGACCCGGACCCCCAGAACGAGCCCGACCCCGACGGGGAGGACGACGAGTACGGCTTTGTGGACGCGTCTTCGCTTCTCGCTTGTGTCGAGACGCTGTCTTGCGTCATCTATCCTGTCCCCTCCGTCCCATTCTCTGATTGACCCAAAGAGTCCAGCGTCAAGGGGTTGGTGCACTATTTTGTGCAATCGAGTTGCCCGCTTGCAATGGATTTGGGGAGTGCAATACATTCCGGTGCGCAATGTATTGCTGGGTTTTCACGTGCAATGCATTAGTTGCAATATGGAGGTCGGCCTTGGTTCGGCGCGCGACCCCACTCCCTGGCTCGCAGAACGCGCCAGGGGGGTCGCAAGAGGCTCCGCCAGAGGCGCCCAGCGACGACCCAAGATATCCGCGCGGACCTCCGGAAGGTAATGTTCATGCATTGTGCAGATTGCATTGTCGTCTGGGACAAAAGGTCTACTTACTTGCATGCACGCCCCTGGGTCTGGCTCGCTACATTTCTCCGCTCCCACTTGCCAATCCTGCCGCGGCCGAGTGCCGTCCTCAATTCTCCAGGAGAGGGGGAGAGCAGGAAGTGACGGCGCTGGGTAGCCCCGATTGGTTGCAGCCAAACGTAGAATATCAACTATTGCAAAGCAAATGTTCAGGATTCCGCGCGGATCTCTTGAGCTGGATACAAGAAATCCGCGCTGAGCTCCGAAAGTTTAGGATGGTATTGGTTGTAGTCTGCTGTTATAGCCAAACAGGATCACAAGGATGAGCCTCTTGCCAAGGGTACCCTTTCATCCTTGCATCTTCGGCTAATGCTTCAGCTTGTGCGTCCAATGTCGCTTCATCCTCACCGCGCATCCCGGTGATCATGTCTCGCTGTAGTTGAATCGTCTCCTATCTCCGCTCACTTCCACTGGGCGGGACTATCCACAACCATCCCCGGTCATGGGCGGCAAGCTGTGAGGGATGCAGAGAGCAGGGCCGCCCGCAGGGCGCAGCGTTATTTGCGATTCGCAGTTCCTCATCTTCTCCATCCTCGTCCTTCTCTTGTCCCGCATCGGCGCGGCGTGAGAGAGCGCGAGGTTATTCACGCGAAGCGCGAAGCGTAAACACAGATGCCCTTGCAGAACGTCAGCTACGGAGGCAGGCGTCAAGATAGTCCTGGCGAGACAGCGCCTCGCCCTGGTGAATCGCCTCGCCCTGGTGAATCGCCAGGCTTGTTTGGCTGCTCCTACGCCGCACGGCAGTGTCACACTGAGGAGGGGGAGGAGGAGGAGGAGGAGGAGGAGGAGGAGGAGGAGGAGGAGGAGGAGGATCAAAAGGCTGCAGGTGTGGGCGCCTTACAGCTTGCTACGAAAAGGTCGAGAGGGTCAGGATCACGAAGGTCAGGAGAGTAAGGATCAAGATGGTCATGAGGAGGAGGAGAAGGAGTCCGAGAGGACGACGCCCGCGCGGGTGTCGCGTCGAGGAGTGAAGGAGGAGCCGCAAGAATGGGGTGAGGATGAGGGGAGGACGAAAAGAGGGTCGGGAAGGGCGGGGGATGAGGACCGACACCCCATTTGCTCCTCTTGTCCAGTGACCGCAAGTCCCCGCGAGTCGTCGACTAGAGTCGCCAACCCCCCCCCCCGTCAGAAGGGGCTCGCCACGAAAGGTCCCACCCAGCCCAGGACTGTGCGGTTTCACCATCGGGGGTCCATCGCCGATGTATCGGCGATGTATCGCCGACCCCAGGTCGATGCTTCCCCCCCTGAGCCGCTCCCCCTCGTTTGCTCTCCAGAGACTTGGGCAGTCAGGGAACGCCCTCGGCGAGGTTCAGCTGCTGGAAGCACCTCGACGCTAGAATACAGCCGATAAGCGACGAAGAAAACGACCAAAAGCCTCGAACCTCGAACTCGCAGCGTATTCCCCTGAGCCGGCCTCCCCCCCAAAAAAGATCTCCTTTCAGGAGGGGGGCAGGCAGGCTGTCGCAGGCCGCGCGGCGCGTAGGACCTCACCGTGACGGCGAGCGAGATCATGCTCGAGGAGGGCCGCGCCTCTCGGGAGGGGGGCGGAGGAGGAGGAGGAGGAGGACTGACTGACTGACTGACTGACTGACTGACTATGACTTGGATCCAACGTGTCGTCAACTGCCTCTGACACTACCACTTGCAGTGTGGAATCAAAACTTGCAGCATCAATCTGGATCTGTCGGGGCAAGCCCCCTCGCTACGCACAAGCGCGCGGGTGCCATTCAGCACTCTGGCACTGCACGCGCCCTACTCCCGCGCTGGCAGGCTAGGGGCATGCGTGCACTCGGATATACAATTCTATGCATTTGTCTTGCCTTTGCCGCGCCTGCGACGGGCACGAAACCTCTCTTCCGCCAGCGAGCGTCCAAAATTGCGTGACTATAAAACGTTTTAGATTCACGCAGAATTCCATGCCAGTAGAAAAGATGGGTGTGAACTAAGTGTCGGACAGATACATAAACGAGGACGAACATCTATGCCGCTGTCTTGCCTTTGCCGCGCCTGCCTCGGCCTCGACTCTTACCTTTGTCCTGCCGAACAAGCTGGGGGCGAGGAGTGAGGAGAGTGGGGTCAACTGAGGATTGCAAAACTGGCGCTGGCTGATTAGGACTAGGAGTAGGATCGGCACTCATGAAGCCCGCGGTCTCCAGAGCTCGGTAGCGCTGACTGTCGCGAAACGCGGGCGGCGCCGAGCGCGGGGCCCCTCGGCTCCGGCTGCTCTGGCTCAAGCCTGGCGTCAAGAGTCGGGCTCGCGTCTGAACCTGTGGAACTGGTTCTCCCACGAGCTCCAGTATTACTTCGTCGTGTGGACGAGGTGGTTTAACTCGCGCTGGAGTGGCCCCCGCGGTGCTGCGCCCAGCTTCCGCTGGCCTCCCTCTTTCTTGATCTCGGCGATGATGATGTCCCGAACCAGCTTCATGTTGCGCTCGTGCAAGTCGAAGGAAAAGATCAGCCGCACTTTCTCCTTCTTGTTGGGGGCCTTGTTCTTCTTCGCCTGGAAATGGGTGATGCAGCTGCAAAGCGGCTCCGACCCCTCCGCGCAGACCACCGTGCGCCAGAACTCCTCGAGCACCGTCTTGGCTTCCGCGTCCACCAGGGTCGCCAGCCCCCCTCTGATCACGCCGCCGCGATCACCAGATGCGGCGGGCCGAGGGCCGCCGTGTCGGTCTGGCTGTCCACCATGTGTTGCTCCTTCAGCGGAGGAGGAGGAGGAGGAGGAGGGGGCTGTCCGTAAAACATCTCGCGAGCAAGCTGAGCAGGGCAGTTGCTTGGGGATCACAGAGGTCTGCCCAGAAAGATTCCCTCTCTTTTCCGGCATTTTCCTTCTCGTCCAGTCCATCTTCCTTCTCGTCCGGCCATTTTTTTCGCTTTCAGCTGTTGAGGCATCGCCCTTCGCTCCACCCACGAGATTCGCAGCCGCAGCAATGAGGCCCGACGTATCGCCGCAGCCAGCACCTCTTGCACTATTGGAAGCGATGCCGAGTTTTCCAAGTCTAGAACGTAGACAGTTTGTTGAACCTCTCAGTGATGATCGTCGTGGCGTTCCTTCTGCTATTTCCGAAGGTACAGCTACTTCCCGAGCCGAAGATGATAGCGATCCACTCGGCTCCATGCGCGCGTACGTGGGCACGACCAAGGAAGAGTTGCTCGCAGCAGTGACACCATTGCAAAGTGGGGTCAACAACCTCGCCACTCCGTCGCCAAGAACTACACCGAGCTGGGCCACCATATGAAACGAATAGTGGCTTCGTACGAACTCGAACTGGGCCAGCATGATGCCCGTATTTCTCATACGGAAAAGTTGCCTCAAGAGTTTCCTGGCCTCCTCGGTGTCACGCAGAAGGTGAGATCACCGACGCGTCTTAGCAGCGGCAACCCCGAAGCACGTTGAAAGCACCGACGCGTCTCAGCAGCTCTTTCCTCATCGCACACACGAAAGTGAAAGTTGCTCGTGAGAATGGCTCGATTGTTCTCAGCTGGTCGAAGAGAAGTACACCATCGAGACAACCCCATCGACAAAAAGTTCGCGCTCCGCATCAAGGGGTCAGCTTATCGCGCAGCACGTCGTGTGGGCCAGGTCTTGGGATGTCTCAAATCACCAGGCGGCAGCCAGCAGACGTTCGCGACGACCGACACAGGGATCTCGTACAGAAGTATTCCTCTTTGCGGGCAAGTGCCCAGCCATGGACCGAACCGAGATCGCTTTCAAGCAGCTTCGGCAGCGCTTGCAGGATCTGCCCCCGCAGGCAAAGTTCTTCACAGACACGGCCCAGGGCACTGCGGCCTTGTCAGCGGAAGGATTTGGTTCGCATCGCAGTGCAAAGGGCTTCAGCAACACCAGTCGTGGAGTAGCGTCCCCGGAACCTCAATCTTCTTGGGGTTCGACGAGAAGCGCACGTGCCCAGCTTTGCTCAACATGTGGACCGCCCAGCAGGAGAATATGTCTTGGTCTTTCTAGCCCTCTTCCCCGTGCATGGATGAGTATTTCCAACAAGGTCACCCCATCAACGTCTGCACTTCTAGGGCTGCCATCCAGAAAGTGTTCGCAGATATAAAGCAATTTCTCAAGAGCGAGGCGTTCGCCAGCTGCCGCTGACGCCTCGTTGCGTCACTTGCATCTCCCAGTCCAAGCTTTTTCCTCTTCGTTCTCCGACAGGCGTCAGGCCAACTCCGAGAGGGGCAACTCCGCCCCTGACCCGGTAAGAATGCACGGCGACGCGAGCTTCCGCACGGGGGGCGCGGTCATTTTTGGCCCCATTTTCTGGGCG